AGAGATGGAGGGTTACTTGGTAAGGGAGTTCTTGTTTGTTAAAAATAACTGTTTGGAGATACTGAAGTTATTATAGGAACATATAAAAACATTCTTCAGAATTGCATAAATTAGAATGTATTATTTTCCAGACTCAGTTAGAGAGACTATTAACCTGAAGAAGCTGTGAAGGCACAGTTCTGTACATGGTTCCTATAATACCAAACCTTTGCAGAAAGTTCATATTTTGATTGGGGGTGGTAATGTGGGTAAATGAGTTGACCCCACGGTTTTCAACCCATTTGGGGTGTCCCATACCCACCCCAATTAGAATTGGGGCGAGATAACTGGGGTGAGATTGAATTGTCCCAATGTTAACCCATTCTATTTGGGCTGGGTATGGACTACGGGGTACCCCAAACCCAACCCATTACCCAAACTTAATTTAAAAAATATTAATAAAATAAAAATTAGATAAAAATATAAATAAGGCAAAATATAAAAAATTGACTCGGTTGATTTAATTTAATATTCCATAAGATATTTTTTATAATCGTTTTTTTGCAAAAAATTTGGTGCAGATAAAGGATTTGATTAACATGGATAACGTTTAATATTTAATTTTTTATATTGAAATTTCAAGTTTACATTATTAAAATGTTATATGTTACAAATTTACATGTTAATGCCTGATATTACCATCAAATGATTGAAATCCTGCACAAAGAAATTTTGATTCTCACGTTATAATAAATTTCTAATTTTTCAATCAGATAGTGGTTGCAATTGTAATTTAAGGATAATATTAATTTTTATAAAAATAATATTATCAAATTATGTTAACTAAGATCATTCATGTATCGTAGGTTAATGTGTGAATTATCAAATTAGGTTAATGATTGTATCAAGAAAGTTATCAAAATAGGTTAATGTGTGAATTAACAATTTTGTATAGCTCCTCAAATCTGTCCATAAACTTATATTAGGTATTGACAATTTGTAATATACATTGATTTTGTAATGTCTAATTTGGAATATAATTATTATAATTATGCATTTTTTATTTGGTTGTGAATTGTGAACAGAAGGTATTGCCAGATTTTTTTGCTTGCTAAAAAAGACAACAAAAAGTAAAATAATGTAACTGCTATAGAAGAAGGAACTGTTTGTAAACTAATAAATTAATTTAAAAAAAAAAAAAGTTGATGGGTTAGGTTTTTTTGGTATTATATGGGTTTAATTGTTAAAAGATAAAGGAAAATTGCTTTCTTTTCTGGAATATGAACTAAATAACAAATAAATTATCAATGCAAACAAATTATGATAGAATATTGCAGCTATTCGTGGGCATTCTATATTGTTTTCATTTAATACATTATCTAAAAAAAAATGAAATAGAAAGAATAGGAGATATGTTTTCGTACTACATGGTTTGTTGACTTGAGTGAACAGAAGGCATGTGAGATTTAAGCCTTGGGTGCCAGAATTATTACTTGCTAGAAAAAAAAAAAAGAAAGATAGTGGCAATATATATTAACAATAAGATTGGGTTTTAATTTTATGTGGATTGATTACCTGAACAAAATAATGTGATTACCCTTGAATAATAAAAGGATCATTAATTTTTGAACTCTCATATAATAACAAAAATTAATTTATATTATATTATATATATTTACGTTAATATTTATTTGAAATTTTTCTTGCTTTATCATCACATTAATAAAAATTTATAATTCTTACAGAATTTTACAATTTGTATGTTAATCTTCACAAAAATATTTCTTTTTATTTCATATATCCCAATTAAAGAAATTTATTTTTTCTTATTTTTCTTTATTGAAAAGGAATTCATAATTCATTAAAAAGAAGACAACTAATATTTGTGTATATATATTTCTATCCCTTTCACTCAAATATTACCTAAATGATTTTATGCTCTACAAAACTATTTCTTTAATCTCTTCTAGAAAATAATATCATTTCCTCAATAGAAAAAAAAAGTCTTATTGATTACATTTATTAAATCAATCTGCATGATTGAGATATATTTTCCCCCCTCTTTATTTCAAAAATATTTTTAGCCCTCCTCAAATAAATTTCTAGTTTCTGCCACATATTATACTTTGTTCATGTAAGCTTCCCATAGATATGATTTTTCCCCTCTTTATTTCAAAAATATTTTTAGCCCTCCTCAAACTAAATTTCTAGTTTCTGCCACATATTATACTTTGTTCATGTAAGTTTATATATATAATATAATGATATGATATTTTATTGCATTGTTGTATTATCCATTTTTATTTTATGTATATACATTAAGTTAGTTTTATATACATTAAGTTAGTTTTATATTAATTTATCTTATCATTTTATGTTAAATTATTTTGTATTTGACAATTTATATATAAATTTTATATATATGCTTAGCGTCCAAATAATTTTACTGACCAAACTCGGTGAAAGGTTCGAGAACAGTGGTCAAGGATAATTTAGAAAATAAAAAGTAATTATTTTATAAAACTTGAATATTCTTGTAAAGTAGGTAGGCTGGGTCATGCCCCAGAATAGTCCTTTTTGAAGATCGGGGATTCCAATTTTAGAGAGTAAAATTATGTTATTGCTGCCATATTATGATATCAATAAGTAAAAAAAAATAATTTCAAAGACAGAGTCAGTCAAAGAAAGAAAAGAAGATGGGACCCAAAAAAGTTAGTGGGAAACAACTTTATGAAAAGTTCATGTAATTACAGGCTTTTAGAATCTTGGGTGGGAAAATGTCATTTATTCTTTTTGGAAATTCAGTAAGATGGCTTCAATCTCGCATGCTGATTTGAAAAAGTTAAAAGAGAAAAGGAAATTGCCCTCCTTCCTGTAAGATGACTAAACAATGAAATATTAAATCTTAATTTATTTCCATCACATAATGTTACGTTTCTAATAATGCATCATACTAATGTATTTTGATATTTCTCCGTATATCATAGGATTGTTAGTCACATATTATATCTATTATATTTTGATGTTATGAACTTTCGAGGTTTAAATTAAAAGTAATAATCTTTTTAAATAATCTTAATATGTGTTGATGGAATTAAGTTGTCAAATAATCCTCCATAAATAGCTTTAATATATGTTAATAATTAATGTCGCTTAAACGATCAAGCCTAATTTGTTTCTTTTCTCCCAAATCTTGTGATGTCGAAAACGTTTTAAGTTAATATTAATGTTACTTAATATGGAGTTGTGAAATAATCCATATAAAAAAACAAGATCGTTTAAACGATTTAGTATGTATAATCCTTGATCTCTTAAGCGATAGCCCATATTAGTTAAGTGACCAATGCTATTTCTTTTTATTTCATATGTCACAATTAAAGAAATTATTTTTTCTTATTTTTCTTCATTGAAAAAGAATTCTTAATTCTTATATAGGAAGACAACTAATATTTGCTTATTTATAGATTTCTATCCCAATCACTCAAATATTACCTAAATGATTTTATGCTCTGCATATAACTATTTCTTTCATCTGTTCTAGAAAATAATATCAATTTCCCCAATAAAAAGAAATAGCCTTATTAGTTATATTTATTTAATCAATTTACATGATTGAAATATGATTTTTTTCCACCTCTTTGTTTAGCTTTATTTCAAAAATATTTTCGGTCCTTCCCAAAATAAATTCCTAGTTTTGCCACATATTATATGTTATTCGTGTAAGTTTCACAATATAACAATATATATTGTTATGCCTGGAAAAGTTGGGCTTACGCAGAGCCTAGTCAACATAAGTGGTCGGAGCTTAGATAAACTCATAGCCATCCAGGCGCAGCCACGTCGTGTGATGACTTGAGCATCATGCTTCTGTCAGTGTAGTGAATATGCACCAGATTAGCAAAAGGCTAGAGAAGGTTCACGTGTACAATCCCTACACAAATCGCGTAAATCGCTCTAGTAGGTGGTCAACGGGACATAAAGAAGGATTTGCACAGATAGTCTGATCAACTCACATATTTAGTAATCATTACCTTAACTCATCCCACTATAAATAGAGAGTTCCTCTCATGTTTGTGGGATTAGCTAATTTCTCTCTGGAATAGCATACTCTCTCTCTCTCTCTCTCTCTCTCTCTTTTTCTTTTGTAAACTCTTATAAGTCAGTTCGCTGAACGCGACCTGATCTCAAATGTATTAATACAATACCAGTGAACTTAGGATTTGCTTACTTGAACATCTGAACCACTTCAAATATTGTTCTTCTTCTATTATTTTATTTAACACTCTCATTCACGTGTGTCTTTTGGGCCTACTCAACATCTCACACATATGTTTTGTTGGTGTCAAAATCTCTCATCAACATATATATATATAAAACTAGTTTCAGGTTTGTGATGTTTGTTTGACAATAAAAGTTCATGTAATTACAGGCTTTCACAATTTTGAGATCTGTTGTTGAGTTGAGATGTTTGTTTGATTTTTCTTCAGAGATTGGTTTCTTCTTCTCCACTACAGCTCTAGTAGCGAACAGTGAAAGGGCAAGAAATTGTAATAGAAGAAGAACAAAGCAAACTTAAAATTATCATCCAACATGGTATACTTTTCTCAGCAAATGAAAGAACGAAAGTAGGCAAGCATATCGTCAACTTGTCATAATTGCCCTCACATGCTGATTTTGAAATCGCCCTCCTTCCTGGAAGATGACTAAACAATGAAAATATGATATCTTAACACAAGTTTATTAAATCTTAATTTGTTTTCATCACATAATGTTATATTAATTACTTTATTAACTCTGTAAGGTTAAAAATGTCATTTTGCAGTCTAACGGATTTATATTAACAAAATTTAACAGGGTGGGGGTTAAGGTCTATTTCCCATACTGTATGTGTTGGGGCTTGCACTATTAGGGTTTTATGTAATTATCCCAAAGAAAGAAAGTTAGGTGGCCCCTCCATGTCGGTGTCCATTATCTTTCCTTCTCCAATACGGTTACAGTTACAGAACATCCATGAAGTCAACGCCAATTACTTTACCATTCTAAAGTCTCTGCAACGCCAGTGAACATTTTCCAAATCCCCAAACACCCTGCTTGCTTCAACACAAGTACGATGGCTTCTTCTTCGTCTTCTCGTCCTGCTCAAGAAAAATATGATGTCTTTCTTAGTTTTAGAGGTGAGGACACTCGCAAAGGTTTTACCAGCCACCTACATGCTGCTTTGTGTCGAACAAAGATTAAAACTTTCATCGATGATGAACTTGAAAGAGGAGATGAAATTTCACCCTCTCTTTTGTATGCAATTGAAGGATCAAAGATTTCAATTGTCATTTTCTCTAAAGACTATGCTTCTTCTCGATGGTGCCTCCAAGAACTCGTGAAGATCATGGATCGCAAGAAGATGCATGGTCAGATTGTGATTCCAGTTTTCTATGATGTAAATCCATCAGATGTAAGGAAGCAAACTGGGACTTATGGAGATGCATTTGCTAATCATGAAGTACGATACCGGCACAGGGAAGAGATGTTGCGGGGATGGAGGAGTGCTTTGACGGAAGCAGCCAATCTATCTGGCTTTCATTCAAATGACGTTAGGTGAATGCTTTCGCTTGATATTATATTCTCAATGAAATTCTGCTCTTTTACTTTTACATGCATATACACTACTGGCTTTTTTTATTTTTATTTTTCAAGATTAGAACATAACAAAACAGCTTAAATAAAGTTCTTGAATTGGAAACCGTTTGATATCTAATGACAAACTAATCTTTTCGTAACACAGTCGTTATTTTTTAGCATCAATTTACGGTATTGAGCTTTGAGGTACGGAATACTTCAAACTATATATTGGAAGATATGCAATGAAATGTCATTTGATCTAGTGATGGCTCCAATCTCCATATACTGAGCTTAAGATCTAATTATTTAAAAAAATTAGATAGATAAAAAATTAAATGTAATTATTTACAATAGGTTTGATAAATAACAAAAATTATAGATTTAATTATTTGTAATAAATTCAATTGTAATCATGCCTATAGATTTTTGATTTCCAAGAATGGAGGAGAGGGGGCTATTGGAATTAGACTTTGTTTTTATTTCTTTTTTCATTGATTTGTTCACGCTTATTGTTCATTTTGCCTTTTATTTCAACTGTAGGTCTGAATCAATACTTGTAGACAGGATTACTGAACAAACTTTGAACAGATTAAAGGCTATGTCTTCAGTTGATAATGAGAAGAACTTGATTGGAATAGCAATGAAGATTCAAGAAATTAAATCTTTATTGTCCGATGGGCCAAAAGAAGCACGCAAGGTAGGGATTTGGGGTATGGGTGGTATAGGCAAGACAACTCTTGCCTATGCAGTTTTCAATGACATCTCTGGTCAATTTGAAGCTTCTTGTTTCATTGAAAATGTTAGGGAAGCATCGGAAAAAGGTGAACTAAGTCGCTTGCGAAAAAAACTTATTTTTACAATATTAGAGGATAAACATCTCAATATAAGGCTCACATCCACAAAAGAAAGGCTTGGACGTAAGAGGGTGCTTATTGTTTTCGATGATGTGACAGATTTAAAACAAATTAATAAATTAATTGGAGATCTTGAATATGTGGGTGTAGGAAGTCGAATCATTATAACAACAAGAGATAAACATGTGCTTAAAACATGTGGACTTGATGATGTCACTATATACGAGATCAAAGGATTATATAGTGATGAATCTCTTCAACTTTTTAAACAGTATGCCTTCAAACAAAACCATCATATCGAAGAAGATTATATGAAGCTATCAAATAGAGTAATAAATTATACTAAAGGTGTGCCTTTAGCCATTGAAGTCTTAGGTTGCTTTCTATTTGGTAGAGAAAAAATTGAATGGGAAAGTGCATTGGATGAATTAGAAAACTCTCCCAATGAGACTATCCAAACCGTGCTTAAGATAAGTTACGATGGATTAGACCGTAAAGAGAAGGATTTGTTTCTAGATATTGTGTGCTTCTTTAATGGATGGGACAAGGATCTAGTTAGCATCTTCAGTCCTGATATTAAAATCGGAGTTCTCGTTGATAAGGCCCTCATTACTATTTCATACAAAATCATAAGAATTCATGATTTGCTTCAAAAAATGGGTAGGGAAATTGTTCGACAAGAGCCTGTTGATAAACTTGGCCAACTAAGTCGATTGTGGCACTGCAAGGATGTCTATCGTGTTCTGAAAAAGAACCTTGTAAGTAAAAGACATTTAGCTTTCAATTTCTATTGTATATTATTTGCGAAATCTTGAAAACAAAAAATTCTAGAAGATTATCAGTTTCATTTTTTTTCCCCTTGTATTAGTTTATGTGGTAACATGCTTGGAGTTTGGGAGGTTATTTTATGTAATTGTGCTGATTTATCATTTTGTTTTGATTGTAGGGAACTGATACAGTACGAGGCATATGTTGTGATATGAACCAAATAAGAGAGATAAACCTGAATCCGTATGCTTTCTCGAAGATGCAGAATCTAAGATTCTTGATTGTGAAAAACTCATATTGGATAGACAATAATAAGGTGCATGATTTTGAAGGCATTAAATTTGATTTCACAGAGCTAAGATGCCTCTACTGGAATGGTTACCCCTGCACATTGTTGCCATTGAATTTTGATCCAGAGAATCTTGTTGTACTTAAGATGCGCAACAGCAATCTTAAACAACTATGGATTGGTATCAAGGTATATGTTCTTTCACACGAGAATTCTCTTTTATAAATTTTAAATATTGTATTACTTTTTTTAATTTGTGTTGTTAATTTCTTCCTATTACAGGATCTTCTTAATTTAAAATACCTTGACTTGAGTTACTCAAAGCATTTACTTAAAGTCCCTGACCTCTCAAAGGCTCCAAATCTAGAGAGCTTAATTTTAGAAGGATGTACAAGTTTGTTTGAGATCACTCCTCCTTCTCAGAATCTTAATAAACTTGTTTTTTTGAATCTAAGATATTGCGAAACCCTGATCAGTCTTCCATTTGGTATTCAATCAATGTCTCTAAGAGTTGTTATTCTCTCTGGTTGCTCTAAGCTCAAAACAGCTCCAAGGATCTCATGTAACATGGAACGATTGTTTTTAGATGGAACTGCAATAAAAGAATTATCTTCTTCCATCGATTATCCTTCGAGACTAGTTGAACTAAATCTTAAAGGTTGTTCAAGGCTTGAAAGTCTTCCAAGCAGCGTTTGTAATTTGAATTCCCTTCGACATCTTTGTCTTTCTGGTTTTTCAAATCTAAAGATGGTTCTAGGGATCCCACGCAAGATAGAAGAGTTATATTTAGATGGAACTGCAATAAAAGAACTGCCTTCATCGATTGAGAATGTATCCAATCTAGTAATATTGAATCTTAGAAATTGCTCAAGCCTTGAGAGTCTTACGAATGGCATTTGTAAATTGAAGTCTCTTAAATATCTCTATATCTCTGGTTGTTTGAAGCTTGATAGATTGCCCGAAGAGATAGGAAATTTAGAAAGTTTGGAAGTGCTAGAAGGTAATGGAATTACTATAAGAGAAGTACCATCATCTATGGGACATTTCAAGAATCTTCATGATTTATCTTTTGTGGGATGTAAGGGTCTAGGGCTGGAGTCCCTATTGGCTATTTTATCAGGTTTTCTATTTCTAAGGAGATTAAATTTAAATCGCTGCAGTTTTATCGAGTTACCCGATAATCTTGGCGAGTTGTCCCTCCTGACAGATTTAAATTAGACGGAAACAATTTTGAGAGTCTACCAACAAGCATCATTAACCTTTCTGCTTTAAATCTACTTAGCATAAGTCTTTGTAATAGGCTTCAATCCTTACCAAAGCTTCCATGTAATTTGCAAGAAGTTAACGCAGATGGTTGTAAATTGCTGAAAGTATTATCTGGTTTGGAAACTCCAAGTGATTGAGTGGTAGTATAATATCTATCACTAATAGAAATTACAACATGACGTTTAACTTCATCAATTGCTTCAATCTAGATTGGAATGCAGTCGGAATGATTTCGAATGATGCTCTGTTGGAATTTGAAAAGGTATCTTTCAGTCTAATCTCATTCCCATATGATTCAATTTCTTTTTCTTTTATATAAATAAAAAGCATTAAATTAAATTAACAATTTTTAATGGTGCAGCGGACAGTTGGCATAGGTTGTATGGTTTTCCCTGGAAGTGAAATTCCAGAGTGGTTTGACGTTCAAGGTAATGGCTCTTGCATAGAGCTACCACATGGTTCGTTCAATTACAAGTTTCTCGGTTTTGTCGTTTGTGCTATTGTCGGAATCCAAGATTATGTTCCTTCTGGGTTCTGTACAAATGGTGTTTGTTATGAGTTGCGTCTGAAAGTCGAACATGGGTGGGAGAAATTTACTGATGACCTACTTGTGACTACAAATATCAAGTCAGATCAAGTATTCGTGGGGTATAATTTCTTATTATCTAAATTTCGTGAATTCACTTGCTGTACGGAGGCCATCATCAATTTCGACAGTATGTATCCAATAATAAAGAAGTGTGAGGTCCGTTTATTTTTCAATCAAGAGTTTGAGGAACCTATGGAAAGATCCATATGTTCCATCATTGATGAAGAGGAAGCACACTCCAAGAGATTGAAATCTTCAAATTTCTTTAATGAAAAATCCTAGTCAAGGTAATTAAATAACATATATACCTTCTTCTTTACATGTCACATAATTAAGTATTTTCATCTCTACACTATTTTCATGCTTTATGACTAATTATTAATTTATATTTTATAACTTTTTAATAAATATTCAGATATTCCATCAGTTATAAGACCAGCAAACTCCAAGAGATTGGAATTAAATAACATATATACCTTTGAAGGAGAATGCAGCTCAAGGTAATTAAAACATATATACCTTGATCTTTATAATAAGATCTCTACACTATTTTCATGCTTTATGACTAATTTTTAATAATTTTCTTCTTGTTTCAAATTTCATTTATACATTTTCATATTATTACGTCTAATTTAAGATTGATTAGCTTTAAATTTACTTCTTCATTACTTAAACTAGTTAGAAATTAAAATCTTTGGTAAATTAGATTTTTAAATTGTTTTGATATGAAATGACAAAAAAACATTTTTTTATCTATTCAGTATAATTATTAAATTATATTTTAAACTTTTTATTAAATTTTTTTAAAACCGAATAAACAATATTTAAATAAAAATAATTTTTTTAAAAGAAAATTTAGGAAGAGACTACACATAGAATCGTCAAACCATCGCTGGAGATGATGGTCCAACGACTATGCCTAGTATCCAGTTTTATTTTTTACTTTATAAAATAAAGTTTTACCCAATCATTGATTAATTTAATCAATTAATATAAATTTATCTAGCAATTTATAAAGTTATCTAAGGGTATTTTTGACATTATACATATGTAAAAGGGATATTGTCAATTAGGGGTATAAACTTTTTAAACTTTTATAATGAGAGGACAAAAGTTACAAATTGTTCAATGAAGGAACAATCATTAGTTAATTAGAGTTAGATTTAACATTAAATAAATGTTAACATGTAATTGAACAGTTTAAATTATTATTTTTTACAAAATAAATAATAAAAAATCCAAAAATTATAAAATTAAAAATTAAAAATAATTAAAAAAAAAAAAAGAAGCCTACTTTCTTTCAATTTTTTTTTTAAATTTTCTTTTAGTTCATAAATTTTAAATTTAATTTTCGTTTGTTTTTTCAATTTCCTTAAAAAAAATGTTTTGGTCCTTTTGAGTTAAATTTTTTTTTTTTAAATTTAGATTTTGAGAACTAAAGTTGCTTATTATAATAAAAAGAGAAAAAAAAAATTAAGGGCATTTAGGTCAAGTGATTTTCCATTAAAGTTAATGGCTAATAAATGTTAAATATTTTGTAATTGAATGATTTGTAATTTTTGTCCTCCTATTACAAAAGTCTGAAAACGTTTGTACCTAGTTGATAATACACTACTTAAAAAGTCTACTTAAAAAGAATTTGATTTTCATAAGCTACCTAAATCCTTTATAAAACTGATTATAAAATAATTAGCTTAACTTATAATCAGTTCAAAGACTAGTGTACCAAGCACTTTTGATATCTTTACAAATTGTTAGGAAATGTCAAGTTTCATATTGAGTAAAACTCAAATGGTTAATTCATGATTAATTTATAATTAGTTACAATCATGAGCTCTTCTTTTGCAATAATGACTTAGTTACTACATGCATACTTTATTGTCGTTCATTTTTTAAACAACGTTATGACTAACACAGGTACCTTAAAATAAACTTAGGCAAAAACATACCATCAAACTAGCTATCCCCCGTGTCATGATGGATTGTAACGTCGCAAGATTGCAACACCCTTTGGTCGCAGCAGATTGCGGCCATGTCCTGATCGTGGTCTGCTGCGATCTGCAGATTACTATGTGATTTGCAGATTGGGTTGGTCGTGATCTGCAGATTTTGTAACTTAAATTTATATATTTTTTGAAAAATATAGATTATATATATGAGTTAGCAAATAAAATTTCTTAAAGATTTTTATTAACTTTTTGCATTCGTTTTTAAGTCCTACTGTGGTTAGCTTTTGCTTTCTAAAGAACTAAAAAAAAAAAAAAAAAAAAATGCAGATTTAGGGCCAAATCAGATATTTCAGTGGTCAAAAGGAGTCAAATGTCCACTTTCACGTTAATATCTAACGGTATAGGGTCTATTTGGTAGTTTCTGATAATTTTGGGGCCTAAGGGAGTTTCTTGAGTTTCAGGGGTTTTAATGGGATTCATCCATGTTATTATTAGTAACTACCATGAGCTGACTTCTCTCCTTTTATTTAAACCCTTTTGGCAACATTGATAAATAGACATGCATATTTTATTTTAAAAGATTTTTTAAACAACTTTATAATTAATTCAAGTACGTTAAAATATAATTGTTCAACTTTATTACTAAAACAAGAACCATTTTCTTGTATAATTTTTTTTTTTTTAACTCTCGGGATAATTGATTAAAAATGAGAAAACTACTTAAAATACCCTTTTGCTTTTGACAAGTTACCATATGATATTTTTTAATTGTTTTAGTAGATAAGACCTTTCATCTACTTTTGTTATATTTTTATCCCTTTATAACTTTTATGCCTTCACTCTAGCAACTCTAGCACTAAAGTGACTCTAGCACTAGGGTCATTAGAGTTATTTATTTATTCTTCAAATTCGTGTTAGAAATTATATATCAAAATTTCTTTAAGCTAACAAATAAATTAACTAATTATATTTTATTAAAAAAATAAAAAAATATATATATTGTTTTTACAAAGAATAATAAATGTATATAAGAGTTATTTTAATTTCTAAAAGTATGAAATGAAAAAAGAAATTAAAACTTTTTTACTCTAGTGCTAAATTTAACAAAATTAAAAAAATATATTGTTTTTACAAAGGAATAGTAAATGACCATCTAAATGTCATGGGCTCAGTTTTTTTTTTTTTTTTTTTCCTCTTTTGCAATAGTGACTTAGCTAAATGCATACTTTATTGTATTTGATTTTTTAAACAACTTTATGACTAAATCATGTACCTTAAAATAAAATTAGGCACAAATAGGCAAAAACATACTATCGAACTATACTGCATTGTTGTTGTAAATAATTACACAAATAAAGATAAAAAAAAAAAAAATCTTAATTTTCAACCTTTGATTTACTATAATTTAACGGTTGTGAATAAGGAAGTTACAAGTAGTTATTTCATGTGTCATCTCAAATATATCTTAGTTATTTAATGTGGTTTACTCTACATTAATTATATTCAAAATTTAAGTTTTTTCTGTGGAAATAGAGGGCTGGCTGGTCCATTGTGGAATAGGGGACCTGGTGCAGTGGGTAGAAGAGGTATGGGCAGTTATGTGGACTTTCTTGATGCTGCATTGCCTCCATTTTCAGGCGAATCCAGCTCAAAGTATTTAAATAAGATATATTTTTTCTTTACTGTATGATGGTTTATTAATTCTGTACATGTACGTAACTATTTCTAAGTTGCTGTACTTCAAATATGATTGGCCATAAAGTAATCCTATATATCCTTAAATAGTTCATCTTTTTCGGATACATATGAATTGCATTGATTTATTCTATATATTGATTGTTTGATCATGATTTTTAATATGCTTCTGTTGTTTCACTATATTATCAGTTTGGATGTGAAAAGCTCTGGATTGCTACTACATGAGATAGAACTGGAAGAGTTGAGTCCTATTGCAAATGAATTCAATCCAAGTGCAAATGAATCTAGTAGCTTTCCTTCTGATTTGAATGAACTCCCTCAAGATTTTGTCGAATCAACAATGGATGTGATTGCCACAACTCCACCGAGTCCTGTGGACAATGATGGGGCAGAACCTAGTGGAAGTGGCTGCTTTTGTTTGATGAATATATTGGTAATTTCGGATCTCAATTTCTAAGCCAAATGCATCTGATTTTAATCTCAATTTCTACGTCATGTTCTTTAATATTGAATGAGCGCAGAAGCTGAATGATATTTTCGTTTCAGGATATATTGGTAAGGATATGCCGCTTGGATTCATGCAACATTTTTTGGTAACAACAAAACTATCTCATCAACTCATTTTTTGATAATCCAGAGTTGTTATTTGTTATTCTATAATTATAACTAGATAATTAGCAAAAATATTGTTTATTTGTATATTGCTATTGTTTGCAAAAACTATCTCATCAACTCATTCAAATTATTGCTTCCAACCTTCATTTATACTTTGGATAATCCAAAACATAGTAAATTGATCTTAGAAAAAGTTACCACAATTTTACTAGTGAAACTGAATTTGGATTCAGAAGAAAGACCCTAGCTTTAGGATGTTGGTTTTCAGAGGAACCCCAAATCCGATAGAGAGTGGAATCGTGGCATAAATAATATGAGACGGGAATGTGCCAAGCTAGGCACAGCAACAAACGGCCATTATGCCATATCCACATCGACGTATGCCCAAGGTGCTAATCTCAGTTCTTATTGGGCTATGTAACTCAAAGCTGAAGTGTCATGAGGAGTATAGGGTTTTGGGCTTGGGCTTGACCCAAATATAGCACCTATGAATGCATTTAGTATAGCCTATTGGATGCAGTTTCCTAGTAACTGATTACTACAATGGGGTTATTAACACTGTATAACCAGTTTCTTAATCTCTCTACATAAGAAGTATCGAATACTTTGGATTTGGATTTGTATTTATGTCAGTTACTTAGGAAGCTTTGATTTGTGGTGTTTATACAATGAAGCTAAGATCGATGCTGGGTGAACCTCATATGTGGGATGAATTTAATTTGAAAATCATTGATTGGGGTAAAAAATAACATTCTTGCTATTGCTTTGGGTCCAGATCGTCATCTTTGGGATCATGATTACCTTACAAGTGTAGCCTTCAAACTGCTAAAAATTTGCTGTTGGATATCCAGAATCCAAACTTCAACTCTGGAATGCTCAGCCTTCAAAACTCGTAAGCAAGTGCCTTTCATGATCATGATAAATTATTCCTATATTCTGAATGTATTGATTTTAAACATAATTGTTATTTTGCGAATGCAGGTTAGGAACCTGGATGTTCAACACACAAAAGCAACAACTATGTTTTGGAACCATCGGGGTGGTCACATTTTAACATCAGGAGGACTCGATAAATCCATTATCAATTATGGTACCTTAGTTTATTTATCTCTTTCATGGAAGAATAGATATCTAATTTATTTCATCTTTGGCTATTCTAATTGCAGAGACGTGGACTGGAGTGGAATAGAGATCACAAAGAGATGCTGAGTGGTCATTGCTTGAGTAACAGGGGAAATGAAAACAAGCTCTGCTTGTTGAAGTATCTTTCCGTGACTAAAGTTGGGGATTTAAAAGCTGCGAGGCTCTAGAGTCCTTGAGATTTCCCAGGGTTAACTATTCAACTCTACCAATGAAGCTTCAAATGTTTCATGCATGATTTCCAAGTAATGGTCTCAAATATAATTTATATATGTTCATATGATCACTTAAGAAATCTGAGTTTCATATTGAGTAAAACTCAAACATATTGTAGTATGAAAAATCATTTTAACTCTCTCTTGATAATTGAATATATATTAAGTCTTTAATTGCACCAAGTTAGAACAAATGTACTACAGCTATCATATAATCCCTGCATGATGTTATATTAATTTTTGTAAGAATATAGTGAAGTTCAATTGAAAGCTATCATTATTGTTCCATTAATTTATGTTTCTAAATCAGTTATCTCCAATTTAAGTTTTCTTTAAATTTTTGCTGAAAGATGACCATCCTACCCTCTAGAAACTAGAATGTGGATTTGAGTTATATTAATTCTTTTTATATTTTAAAGTTCTGAAATTTTGAGTATAAGGAGAATCTTTAGAATTTATTCATATAGTTGATTTATCTAATTTTCTTTTCAATTCTTAGAATAATATTTATGTATGATCAAATAAACATGTTTCAATGCACATGTAATTGTTTCTTAGTTGCTGTATTTAAAATATGATTGGCCATAAAGTAATCCATATTGAATAACATAGGTTGATATTTTCTTGAGACATATGAATTGCATTGAATTATTTCATATATTAAATTTTTTATCATGATTTTTAATATGCTTTTGCTGTTTTACTACATTATCAATTTTGTATTTGGATGTGAAAAGGTCTGGGTTGCATCTATTACTACATGAGAAAGAAGTGGAAGAGTTCAATCTAGTTACAAATGAATTCAGCACAAGTGCAAATGAATCCACTAGCTTTATATTTGATTTAATTGAACTCCATCAAGATTTTGTCGAATCAACAATGGATACAGTTGCCACAACTATACAGAGCCCGGCTGACAATGATGGGGTAGAACCTCGTGGAAGTGGCAGCTTTTATGATGAAGATGAACCACAACCTAAAGAATTCAATTCTTTTGAAGGGCAAAGCCTATATTGGTAAGTCTGGATCTCAATTTTTAATATTCAGTAAGTGCTGAAGCTGAATGATATGCTACTTCGACTCATGCGACATTTTCTGGTAAAAACAAAATTATAATTCTGAATTGTTAAATGTTATTCTATATATATTCATGGTTACAGAACTATTTAAAATATTAATTATTTATATTTTGCTATTATTACATATTGTTTGCAAAAGTTATCTCAAATTGTTGCATCCAACCTTCATTTATACTTTGGATAGTCCAAAACCCAGTAAATTTTTCTGAGAAAAAAGTTATCACAATTTTACCAGTGAATCCGAAAAACTTGATTTTGTTTTGCCAATGTGACTTTCTGGTATAAACCAATTAAATAAGAACTAAAGCCAATATTGTTTTGGATTTTGAGCTTTGCTAATATATTATGTTTAAGTAGAAAAACTCATGATCCATAATTAACTGTCACACCTGAACTTTGAGTTTTGATTCAGAAGGAAGATCAATTTGGATGTTGGTTTTCAGGGGCACCCTCGAATCAAGTAAAAAGTGGAATCGTAGTATTGATGATATGAAAAGGGAAGATGCCAAGGCACTGTGACATACTGCCACTAATGTATATCGACATTGATGCATGCCCAAGGTACTAATCTCAGTTCTAAACAAAGTATATCTAGATGTACTCATAAGGAGTATGTGTACTTGAGCATTTGGGTATGTGCTTAATGACATGTATTTATGTGGTTACTTTGATGCTTTGATTGATGGTGTTTGCTTAATGAAGCTAAGATTCTGGATGCACCTAATATGAGGGATAAATTTAGTCTGAACGTCATTGATTGGGAGAAAAGTAACATTCTTGCAATTGCTTTGGGTCCAGATATATGTTGTTGGAATCCCTTGGGGACAATGATCGTCCTATGAGTGTGGCCTGCTCTCACACTGCTACAATTCGCACTGTTGGATATATGGACTCCAAACTTCAGCGCTGGTATGTTCAGGCTTCAAAATCAGTTACTCCAGGACTCGTAATAAGTTAATATTAAACATAATTTATATTTCGTGAATGCAGGTTAGGAATCTGGATGGTCTTTGCAGAAAAGTAACAACTTGTCATGGAGCCACCTGAATGTTCATATTCTAATTGCCAATCATTCATATTCTGACTTCTATATTGTTACCATGCTCTTATTCGCAGGTAAGAGTGCATAAAAGCACACACTAAAGAAGTATGCGGACTGAAATGGTCTACTGAAGGCAATCAACTGCCAAGAGGTGGTAATGATAAGCTTGTATAGGGGAGCCTTCCAGATGAGTTAAAGCAAATTCATGAACGGATTTATTTCACATTGTGATGCAGTCAAGGCCCTCGCATGGTCCCTTCTTAATCTAATGCACTTGCCTCTGGAGAAGGCACAGTAGATGAATGTGTTAAGGTATGAAATTTACTAACGGACAGGCATCAGTAGTGATACTGGAACACAGGCCAGTGAAATGGTTTCACTCTTTCTTATGAGTTTTCTATAGAAACTACAACAAAAGAGACATTAATTTCCTGTTGCTCATCGTCTCACTCTTTCTTATGAGTTTTTTATAGAAACTACAACAAAAGAGACATTAATTTCCTGTTGCTCATCGTCATCTATACTTGTGCAATGTATGGTGTTCGCCTTATTTATGGCAATTTGATGTTTTATGGTTTAACATGTGTAGATATATGGACTGGAGTGGAATAGACATCACAAAGAGATACTAAGTGGACATGGCTTGAGTTGCAGAGGAACAAAAACAAGCTATGCTTGTGGAAGTACCCTTCCATGACAAAAGTTGGAGAGTAATAATGCTGCAAAACTTAAAAGACTCCTTGAGCAATTTCCCAGGTTTGACTGTTTGACAAACTTTAGTTTAGAACCCGCTATATATATTGTATTCTTAAATAGATATAACAGCTACCCAAATTAATGTTTTGCAGAGCCCTGATGGTCAAACTGCTTATCAGGCTATCAGCGGGGGCGGATGAGACCTCTTCCTCTTAAGAGATTTTTTAAATTGAATCACCTACCGATGAAGATTCAAATGTTTCATAACAGTCATCTATCTCGAAGGATAACCTGAAGATTCAAATTATTGAATAATGATTCTCCATAATTCGCTTTCATTTATTAATTTTCATTATTAGAGAACTATTGAAAACGTTATTTGTTTACATTTTCTTGCCCGCTGTACTTGATAGTTTCTAGAATATTTTCCATCTCTCAATTTCATTGTGTAAATCAAATAGATCAAAACCTCATCTTCATTTTTAGTGAGAAAGTTGTGAAAATGATAGTAGAACTTACAAATCTTTTACCAGTTCTTGCCATTGTTGCTTGACTTGAAGTATTATAAACTTTATTTATTTGAATTTATTTTGGTATGCACTGAATATAAAATACTCCTGCCGTCTATTCCAATGCAAATGAGAGACCAAATATTATCATGCTCAATCTATCCCTAATTGCTTTTTGAACTTTATATAAAAGTTTTTATGATCATTTTAAGATAAAGATTTTTGTATGGTGGAGTGAACAATATTGCATATATACTTGTTAGGCAATTTGCATGCATAACCTAATTGGATAGACGCACGCAGGTTGTTACCTTCTTGAAGAGTTTATATCACTTCATATTATGCTCGATAGGATTATTCATGACATGATTATAAAACCCTTCTTTAATTTCATATTTGACAACAATTTAAAATTCCCAAAGTAGATTATCAAAACCATGGGGCCTAAACTGTCAATCCATTTCTTATGCTGGCTACTTCGATTAAGACTAAGGGTTAAATTGAAAAATCTCAAACTTCAGAGGACGCCCCGAACATGTACACCCAAACATTATAAAATCAAAACTACAACAAAAAGCAGCTAGTTTTTTCAGCAACGCACTAAACCCATCTGAGAATTTTGAGAGCAATAAGAAGTTATCGAATATGTGAGAGATGGTTAGAAGTAAAGTTTGGATCTTATTACCATGTGGGTCAATTTCATTTTCTTCTCAAGAAGAAACCCAGTTCAAAAGAGATGGCAAAGTAATAGAGCTGGACGAATCAAACTTTGAATCAGCAATCTCAGCCTTTGGCTTGATCTTGGTCGATTTTTACGCTCCCTGGTGCGGCCACTGCAAGTGCCTCGCTCCTCAGGTCCCTCCCTATCTTGTCTTTTCAATTCTTTACTAAATTGCCCTTTTAATGTTGTTGAATTTACCTGAAGGTGATATGTTGTGTTATAAGTGTGATATTGCGTTGTATTGAATATGTAAAAAGTGTGTTCTTTGAGTTATAAGTGTGGTATTACTATTGTTTGAACTATTGGTTTTTGCATAGGGTGAATTAAGATGCGTTTGATGTAGATTTTAAATATAGTTATTCGTTTCCGGAAATAAGGTATACAAGAAATAATATGAAAAATGGGATTGGTTGAAATGGATTCGGATGTTTTCATAATTTTAAACATAATTGCTTTTTTCAAGAATGCAGGTTAGGAACCTGGATGG